ACCTCAGGGTTCTATCCTTGGCCCTCTTCTATTTATACTCTATACTTCTGAACCACCTCGTATTATTGATAACTTTTCTTTCTCTAGTCAACTACATGCTGATGATTCTTACATTTATACTTCTTTTCCTCCATCTAATCTCAATAGTGTTCTTCATAATCTATCATAGTCTTTCTTCAATTATCGCTTGGTCTGACTCTGTCTTAAACTTAATCCTTCTAAATTTGAATTAATTTGTTTTAATAAATCTAAACACTCTATTACTATTCCTCCTATTATCTTACCTGATTCTAAAACTCTTGATGCCTCTCATAAGTTTCGTAGTCTAGGTTTTATCTTTGATTCTACTATGTCTCTCTCTTCTCAGATTAATAGTGTTGCTAGAAGCTCTTACTTTTGCCTTTTCTTGATGATCCTACTCTTCTCCTTCTTGTTACTTCGTTAGTCTTATCTAGGATTGATTATTGTAACTCGCTCTACTATGGTCTTCCTGACTCTATACTTTAAGTAAAGCTTTTAACTCTGCTGCTCGTCTAGTTGCTCGTGCCCCTTTCTTTTTTTATATATCTCCATATCTTGTTCTCTTGCACTGGCTACCTATAAAATATATAATAATTCTTAAAATTTGCACGTTTATGTTTAAGTCTCAATCTAAATTATTTCCTAAGTATTTATCAGATATATTAATTGAACCTAAACGCCCCGGTTTACGATCGTCTTCTTGCTCTCGCTTTTTCTTGACTCGTGTTAAAAACTCTTTTGCCAAATCTGCTTTTGCTTTTTCTGGTCCTTTTCTCTGGAACTCTCTACCTACTTCTCTGACTATTTCTCCATCACTTGCGAAGTTCAGAGCGGATCTCAAGACCCATCTGTTTTCAAAATTCATTGAGGAGCGCTGTTGAACATCGCGGAAATAGCACTTTATAAGCTAATTGGTTGATTGATTGATTGATTGATTGATTGATTGATTGATTGATTGATTGATTGATTGATCTCATTTAATCAAATATTCGTTAGTATTTTCATCGATGTACAAATTACATAAACTCGATGCTATTATGAACCAGCACCTGGCAAATGAGAAAAAACGTTCAATGCCTAAATTTATCAGACTATACGGAATTTAATAATTTATTCAGAAGAACCAAAATTATAAAAAGTGCACACAAATTAGTGAATGTTTCATACTTCAAATTAAAGTAAAATAGAAGCAACCATTGTAACAAGAAGTTTCTCTTAGTTTATTCTCTCATAAGTGGGCGTAAAATCAATGCTTCGTCAATCACTGCTTTTCATGTGCGAATTCACATCCGTGCACTATTTTAGAATAATATAAAAAATTAAGGTTTAAAATGGCAACAAGGTTTATAGCGTTACAATATAGTCGACCAGTCACAAGTCAACAATGAACTGCATTGATTGAAGGACTTCATTTTTAAACAACCTATTGCAAAATTAATTCCAATTCGTTCCCGACAAGGTTTTAAGTTCCGATATTGCTCCAGACTATGAAATAGAACGTGGCCTTCTGGAAAATATAAATAAAAATACAATGAAAACGATTTAAAAAAATGTTATATGGAAAACCAAGATTTGATTGAAGATTTTGGGTTAACATTCTTCTTAGAAGAGTCAAAGTTGTTCATCGTTTACTAATTCGATCTTATCTTTACTAACTTTTCTGTTTTGTCCATTATTTACAATTGTTTATTAAACATCATGATGTCGCTTATTTTTACTTCAAATTTTATCATTAGATAAAATATAATAGATTTAATTAGCTGGTAATTTTTATTTCATATCGCCTGTAGAAGGAGTTTAATTATTACGGCTTTTTCAGACTTAAATTAAATTGATGTAACAGTATGTGAACAAGGGCTAATTTAAACTTTTTTACACTTTAGGCACATTTTGTTATATCCAAGCATTACTGTCATATATTGGGATAGTCTTTTAAATTTAAGTAATTTGCCGGAGCTGGTATAATTAAGTGTCGGTGATTCTATATTTAGAATAGAATGTCGGTGGTCGTTGAATCAAATGTGGAATCAGTTGGTGCAGTTCTCAACTCCACACATAATTGCTTTTTTATTCATTCGTTCGTTTTTGGTGTATTACAATGTTAACGCGTAGGCATAGACATGCCATATTGATTATTAGATCTTTGTATATTTCTAACATGTTCTTGTAACATTAAATAAGTAAACTTAATAACAGTTCCGCATTTTTAATTTCCCATAAAACATATTGACGCCGTTTTCAAATATTAAACTCCAATGATGGGCTGGTGATTTTATTGCGTTGATGCACTTACATTTTATTACTTCAATCCACAAAACGTGAGTTTAAATTTATATTTAAAAATTGCGCATGTTTTTTATCTTAAAACATTTGCTAAAGCTTTTTTTGGCATCATCAGTATAATTATATGTTTGTGTCATATTGATTGCTTTTAAATAAAAATTTATAATGGAGTTGAAGGCCTGACACTATGATGCAAATATCAAATGTCGAAATTGGCATTACAATTGGTCCTATAAAGGTTGTGAATCATACATACTACTTCAAAAATATTCGAGCGTGTCATGAATTTTGAAAAATTTCGTAATAGCTTTTTTTAATGTAAATAAATAAAAAAAACTTAAATTTTCTTATAAACAAAAGTGCATGGTTATTTTTTGAGTTCTATAAATTGGCGTGCAACGTCTGCGCTTAACAAATAGCAAATTTTCAGCAATAACATTGTCGCATCTACCCTAAATTACGAAAAAAAAACAGTTCTTACCCGGGATGTTATTTCTATAAATGCTAGAGACAGTTAGTTTCATCCAGACTGAATAGCCGCACTTAGCTTTATACTACAATAAAATATTATAAGATATTTTAAACAAATGATGCTCAAATACCGTATGATACGCGCGTGGCGAAGGATAGTATTCAAAAAAGATAACCAAGCAATAAAAATGCTTTTCACATTCAACAAATGTTTAAAATTGAAAGCCTTCTGTGACCCCGACCAAAGTTTTCGAAATCGAGCTATTCTACTTGACCTAAACTTTTGTATGGAATTATTTGCACGATTATAGTTTATAAGTAGTTTAAATCAATTGTCATCTTATTTAAATTCTAACTCCTTGCTACCTGTATCTCAATCTGGTTTCAGACTTGCTCACAGTACTGAAACTTCTTTATTCAAAATACATAATGATATCCTTCTCTCTAGTTACAATAATAATCTTACTCTTCTTCTTGCTTTTGACTTTTCCTCTACTTTTGATACTGTTGATCATACTATTCGTTTGAGACTGCTAGATCTTTCTTTTAATATTACTGATTCTTGTCTTAGTTTTTTTCTTATCTCTGTAATTGTTTTTCTTCTGTTTTTTTTTCAATAATTCCTACTTCTAAATCTTCTACTCTTACTTTTGGGGTACCTCAGTGTTCTATCCTTGGCCTTCTTGTATTTATACTCTATACCTCTGAACTACCTCGTATTATTAATAGCTTTTCTTTCACTAGCCAAATATATGCTGATGATTCCTATATTTATACTTCTTTTCCTCCATCTAACCTCAATAGTGTTCTTCATAATCTATCTCTATGTCTTTCTTCAATTATCGCTTGGTCTGACTCTATGTGTCTTAAACTTAATCCTTCTAAATTTGAATTAATTTGTTTTAATAAATCTAAACACTCTATTACTATTCCTTCAATTATCATACCTGATTCTAAAACTTTTGATGTTTCTCACAAGTGTTGTAGTCTAGGCTTCATCTTTGATTCTACTATGTCTCTTTCTTCTCAGATTAATAGTGCTGCTAGAAGTTCTTACTTTCATCTACGTAGAATAAAAATTTTTTACTTTTTTTTTTGATGATCCTACTCTTCTCCTTTTTGTTACTTCGTTAGTCTTATCTAGGATTGATTATTGTAACTCGCTCTACTATGGTCTTCCTGATTTTATACTCCATTCTTTAAGTAAAGCTTTAACTCTGCTGCTCGTCTAGTTGCTCGTGCCGCTTTCTTTTGTCATGTGTCTCCATATCTTGTTCTCTTGCATTGGCTACCTATAAAATATAAAACAATCTTTAAAATTTGCACATTTATGTATAAGTTTCAATCTAAATTATTTCCTTAGTACTTATCAGATATATTAATTGAACCTAAACGCCCCGGTTTACGATCGTCTTGTTCTCGTTTCTTCTTAACTCCTGTTAAACACTCTTTTGCTTAATCTGCTTTTGCTTCTTCTGGTCCTTTTCTCTTGAACTCTCTTCCTACTTCTTCATCACTTACGAAGTTTATCTGTTTGCACAATTTATTGAGGAGCGCTGTTGAACATCGCGGAAATAGTGCTTTACAAGCTAATTGATTGATTATATTGTCTCTTAGCTGATGTAATTATCTTGAGTTTTCTGCACTAATTATTGCTGATGCAAAACGTTGACGTGCTCATGCTTGTATGATCTGTAAAGTTTTAGATGGAAAGAATATGATAGGAAATTCCCGTATAAAATATCATCACCTTGGCACTAAACCCGTTTAATCGTCGTCCCTCCAACTGGGACTGTTGGCAGCCACTTCGCTAAGCTGGGACGCAAGGTTATTCTTTTATGGTCTGGTCGTCCATTACATTGTGTTGCGTTAAACTTAATTAGTAAAACGCACCCTATAGGACTCGTTCGCCATTGCTGTTATTATTTTGAAATAGCGATTGTTTATTTTTATTTTATCGTTTGAATTGGAAGTATTGCATATTTTATAAATTTGTATATTTAGCGCACATTTTGCACCGAACCAACTATTTTTTTATTTGTGTTTTGATTTAAAAATCGAAAATTAAAACGCTTTCGCTATTTGAATGTCTGCCTAATTACGGATTATATTTTGGAGGGATCGCATCACTACCGTCGTCTTGGCTATTTATAAATTTATTTTATCTTTTATTTTATTAATGTGCTTTTTGAAACTCAGTTTAGAGTACTGTTAATTACAAAATCATGTTTTACGCTCATTTTGTGTTGAGTAAAAAAGGACCTCTGGCGAAAATATGGCTGGCTGCACATTGGGATAAAAAGCTTACTAAGGCTCATGTTTTTGAAACAAATATTGAAGGCAGTGTGGAAGCTATTATTCAGCCTAAAGTAATTTGATTTCCAATTATTTTTTAATGTAGTTTCAGCTTTCGTTAGCAGTTTATTAATATTAGATATTTCAAATTCAAATTTTTTATTTTATGTACATTTTTATTTTCAAACTAATTTTTTATTAATATTTTAATTTTTTAATCAAAGTTAAAACTTAAATTATTTTTTATTAATAACTTACAATGAAATTAATAATTAAAAAATAATATTTCAATATATTTTTATGAATTTATATTTAATACCTAAAATTTTCTGGTTTGACGGGAAATAGATTTTTTGCAAACAGATTTTGTTTTTTAGTTTTGTTTTATACCAATGTGCTATATGTATTTTTAATCTACATTTTGAGGATAATATAAGAATTTGTTACCTATTAAATGTTGATAAAACTAATTGTTAATCAATAGTTTACTCATCAAGTTTAAAATCCAACTATACTTGAATTGAGCATAGTTTAAACTTTTTTTTAAAATATGTATATTAGAGACAAAATAATGAAAAATATTAAGCACACTATTCTTTTATAAAATATTGCCTAAATTTTAAATGCTTTCAATAGTTAAATTCTGTTTTAAATGTTCTTACCCAACTAAGATTTTTATGTTTGAAAATTTTAATGGAGTCAGATGTCTTCTAATAGATTTAATAAATTTTATTTTCTGCAGGCAAAACTAGCATTACGAACATCAGGACATTTATTATTAGGTGTTGTCAGGATATATTCTCGAAAAGCAAAATATCTGCTAGCCGACTGCAATGAAGCTTTTGTCAAAATCAAAATGGCCTTTCGACCAGGAATGGTTGACCTGCCTGAGGAGAACAGGGAGGCAGCCCTTTCTGCCATCACCCTTCCTGAGGCCTTCCATGAATTTGATACTGCCATGGCTGACCTCAGGTTTGTTCAGGGTTTTTGATGAAAATTACATCAAGTACTTGTTAGCTGGTATCTTACAGTCATGTAATGATGTATATACATAAAATTGAAATGCAGTGAGTTAGAAGTGCAAAGTCATCAGTTTGCAGTAAATCAGAGTCGACCTGAGGAAATAACGATGAGAGAGGACCTGGGCAGCATTACACTCATCGGTGATGATGGATTCGGTTAGCTTTTAATTCATTCATTTCTTTTTCTCATTCTCTTTCTCTTTTTTGTTTGTTTTATTCTTTATCTCAATATCGTAAATTTATAATTCATATTCATATTAATATAAAATTATTCCAATTTGATATAATTAAATTAAAATGTGTACAGTCTTTTGAATAATTATTGGACTCTACCTAAAAATTGAATGTCAGCAATACATTTTTTGAAAAAGTCAATAGAGATATTGCAGATTTGATGTGTTACAAATATTTCAATTTTTATGGCTTAATTTGCATTGTCTACCAGCTTGTAAATTTTGCTCAAGTTCATTTATTGCAATTTGTTTTCAGTCACAAGATAATGCAACAGTTCAAAAAATAAATTTTCTCAACCAGGTGACATAGGCTTTGATGGAGGCTTGTTGGATGATCCTCAGTTTGAAGCCAGTCTCTTCTCAAAGGAGCCAACAGATTTTGCTACATTGGCCATGCTAGCCATGAAGGAAAATGAGAGGGAGGAGAAGCACGAAGAGATGGAAGAAGACGGAGAAGGTGCCACTCATCTTGTTGACAACCAGCAGGATGATGACGATCATTTTGGTACACTTACTTTCTCTTTGATTTTTCTCAATATTCTCTTCTTGCAATTGTCTCTATAAATGCAATGTCAGATCAAAAATCTTGTTGGCATTTTTTATTACCAAAAATCCAATAATCGTCTTTCAACAAACCTGCAAGCAACAGTCAAACTGACATTTGGGTAATGAAAATAACTAACTAATAATTACTAATAATTAAATAATTAATTAACTATGTTAAGTTACTAAAATAAAAGTAAGATTTATACAAAGCAATTAATGTCATCGTTATTTAATATAAAATAGAAAATGTTGTCTCAAATCATGCAAAGTAATAAAAATATCGAATGGTCACTGAGTATCGATGAAACCACTGCACTGTAGGGCCAGCAGGAGTTGACGATGATGATTACGACTCAAATGATGGACAACACGATTCACCCGCTGGTGACCCAGAATTATTTTGTTAGCATCTTTTCAAATTTCTTCTATTGTTTTTACATAGAAAAGCAAACAACTGCAGTTTTTTTGTCAATGAGAAGCAAATGATTGGAAATGATAAAAATAAGTTTGTTTAATAGCTTTTATGCTGAATGTTTAATCAAAGAGATAGAGAGATGTCAGAGAAATTTTATTACTTTTTATTTTTTTATTCATTACTCTTTGTGCTATAATACATGAACGACCTCATTATTACAGCCGATACATTCGGGACGGAAGGTGACGCACCAACAAATGAAGGAGCGACTGATGGAGGAGGCATTGGTTTATTTGAAGATCCCATGATGCCCGATGATGATGAGATGAACATGAACGATAGCAACAACATAATTTCCAACACTAACAACAATACCGATCTACAGCACAGTTTGTTTGCTCTTTTTTTTTGCTTATATTTTTTTAGAATGATGTTTTATATTTGTCTATTTTTAATATTATACAATAAACTAAACTCATATGCCATCACAAAGAAAAACAACGGCCCCTGGTCCCCAGCAGGCCTTAAGTGGTCAAGGGGTGCCAAGAATCCCTGGGAAGTATGCAATAGCGGAGGGATGTTGGGAAAAAAATTCAGGGAGACTTGGAACGCTCAATGTTGGATCACTGACTGGCTGCAGCATGGAAATCGCAGAAATGCTTGAGCGTAGAAGGATTGACATCTGCTGCCTTCAGGAAACCCGATGGAAATCGAATGGTGTCTGTCATGTCAACTCAGACAAAGAAAAATATAAACTATTCTGGAATGGTCAAAAGACGGCCAAAAATGGTGTTGGAATTTTTGTCAGAGAACCGCTAGCCCAAGAAATACTGGATATCAAAAGGATTAATTCACTTCTCATGTGGATCAAGTTTCGCATAGAAAAGCAAACAATGATTATTTTTTCTGCATACGCACCACAGACAGGCGAATCAAAAGAGATGAAAAATGACTTCTGGGCTGCATTCTCTGACACCATATCAACAATACCAAAATCTGAAACAATCCTGATTAAAGGCGATCTCAATGGCCACGTTGGAGAGAATACAGATGGTTTTGACAACGTACATGACGGTTTTGGCTATGGAAAATGGAATGAAGATGGCAACCGCATCCTTGAGTTTGCTGAAAGTCACGGGTTTTGTTTACTGAACACATATTTTAGAAAGAGGTTGGAACATCTCATAACATACAAAAGTGGACCATCAGCCATGCAAATTGATTTCTTCGCTGTCAAGCAACCACACCGAAGGCTGTTCAAAAACGTCAAAGTTATACCTGGCGAATCATGTGTCGCCCAACATAGACTCCTTGTGGCAGACCTGGTTGTCGAACTGTCAAAACATAAGTCTAAACAAATGCCTCGGAGAATCAAAACGTGGAAGCTGAAAAGCAATATTCATCGAGGAAAGTTTCACCAGATTGTCACCACACAGTTAGACCACCCATCGCAAGCCAGTACAGATTGGAGTACATACAAAACAGTTTTGATAAACGCTGCAACTACAGTTTGTGGGAAAACTGGTACAAAACGTCAGCATGAACGTGACACTTGGTGGTGGAATGACAGTGTACAAAATGCAATAGCTGAAAAGAAAGTTGCATACAAGCCATGGCAAAAATCAAAGTCTGTTGATGACCATAAAATTTTCCGTGAGAAGAACAACTATGCAAGATGTCAAGTTGCACTGGCTCAGACAGATCAGTGCAGAGAGTGGCTCACTAGAAGCAAAGGTGAACAAATGAAATCTCTATATCGTATAGCAAAACAAGCAAAGCATACAAAAAAAGACATAGTTGGTGCCTCATGTATCAAAAATGACAAAAATGAGATGGTTCTTGAACAAGATGAGATCAAGCTACAGTGGAGAGAATACTTCAACCGTCTGTTAAACGAAACAAATCCCATCAGTGTTAACTTTGATGCCCTACCCATCGAAGGTCCGATTCCAGACATCACTATAGAGGAGCTTACGAAGCTCTGAAAGCTATGAAGGATGGAAAGGCAGCAGGGCCCTCTGGACTCACAAATGACATTATCAAAGCATCTGGTACTGCAGGTATCCAAACGTTACTACAACTTGAAATCTGGAGAAATTGCTCAATGCCGACTGAATGGAACTATAGCATGACAGTCCCGCTATACAAAGGCAAAGGTGATCCATTGAACTGTTTATCATATCGGGGTATACGTCTGTTAGAATAATTGTCTAGAAAATCTTTGAGAGAAGATTAACGTCGTGCATCACAATCGGAAATTATCAATTTGGTGTCCTAGTGGGGAAATCAACAATTGATGCAATTCACATCCTTCGGCAACTGCAAGAGAAGTACCTCGCAAAGCATCAACAACTATCACACATTTTTGTAGACCTTGAAAAAGCATTTGATCGAGTTCCCCGTGAAGCAATCAGGTGGAGTCTACGTCGACAACTCATTCCAGAATATCTTGTTCGACTTGTGATGGAAATGTATACGAATACTAAAACTCTTGTCAGCACAACGGTTGGAAACACAGATGCATTTGACATCGGCGTTGAAGTTCACCAAGGCTCGATTCTCAGTCCACTGTTATTTATAACTGTGATGGAAGAAATCACAAAACCGATATGCACTGATGACATTTGGAATCTATTATATGCTGATGATATCGTTTTAACAGCCACATCTGAGCAGAATGCAGCACAGATGTTTGAAGATTGGAACACCAGACTCGCCGATCATGGATTCAAAGTCAACATCAGCAAAACCAAAGCAATGAACACTGGTGAACCCATCCAATCCACATCTACTGGACGATGGCCCTGTTCAGTTTGTAAAGCTGGTGTAGGTAACAATTCAATCAAGTGTCAGCAGTGTAACCAGTGGTGTCACAAACGTTGTTCAAAAATAATTGGTACTTTATCTTAAGTGTCAAATTTTGTTTGTCCTGCTTGCATCAATCCATAACAACAAATTCGAAATAGCAATGTTTTTGAAGCCATTAAGGTAGAGAAAGTCACATCGTTTCAATATCTAGGGGA